GATCCCATCCCATCCCACCCCACCCCAGGCATCCCCTACCTTGGGGCCGCGGGGCCCGGCCATCCCAGGAGGGCCCAATTCCCCCTGTGGAGAGAGCAGAGCAGGGCAGGGCAGGGGTGAAAGCAGCAACCCCAAAACCCCAAAGAACAAAGGGTGGGCACTGGGGCACACCCACCTGAGAGCCATTGATGCCTCTGCACCCCACGGGTCCCGGCTGGCCAGGCTCTCCCTGCAAGGCAAGACCTGCTCAGCCCTCAGGGGAGGTGGGACGGGGGCTCCTGGGCATCCCAGGGATGCTGGAGGGGTTACTGGTGAGCTTTAACACCATGGGTGGGTGGGACAGGGATTCCTGAGCATCCCAGGGATGCTGGGGGAGTTACTGGTGAGTTTTAACACCCTGGGTCCTTTTGGAATCCTCCCCCCACTAGCAGGGATGGTTTTAACCAAATGCAGCATTTTTCGGTGTAGATTAAAACAAGGGAGGAACACGGTGGCACTCTGGGCAGCAGCAGCTCTGCTGCCTGAAATTCCACCTGTATCAAACCCTGAGACTCACCATGGGACCAGCAGGGCCTGGAGCACCTACTGAGCCATCTTCCCCCTGCAGCAGGAGAGTAAAAAAATGCTATTTTTTGCTTTGATTCTCTCCTTCAGCCCAAATCCCACTTTTTCTTCACATCATTCCCACATTCCTTCACATCAGCTGCTTGTTGCCCCCTTGGACATTTGCTGACCAATTTGCTGTCCAGCTCCCTTTCCTGTTGCAGAATCCATCCATTCACCACCAAACCACTTCAATTTTCCTTTCAAATCCTTTTCCAGCCCTTTTCTGGACAGGATGTCCCTGAGTTATGTGGGAACCCTGAGCTGTCCATCTGCTGAGAAAGCCTGGAAAAACCAAGTGCTGCCAGCCTGGGATTCATCCCAGCTGGAGGTGGCCACCTAAAATAAATCCCAGTGTGCTCTGGAAGAGCTCATTTCTTTTCATTTATCCTCATTCCCAGCCAGAACAGGGATAGGAAATGCAGGAGGAAATGCCCCAAAGTGCTCGGATGCAAATCCCTGCTCAGACCCCTCTTCCTAGTGGGCATCTGGGAAAAGCTCATTTCTCTTCATTTCTCATCATTCCCAGAACAGGGATGGGAAATGCTGGAGGCAATCCCAGGGAACTGCCTGGATGCAAATCCCTGCTCAGACCCCTCTTCCCAGGGGAATCCCTGGCTCCTGCAGCCCTTTGGGTGGCACAGAGAAGGGAACAGCACTCACCTCTGGCCCTGCAGGGCCCTGCAAGCCCATGGCACCCTTCAGCCCTACCAGCCCCTGGGAGAGAAGCCAGCAGTGAGGTGTCAGCACCCTGAGGTGACACTGCCTTTGCAGGGACACCACAGAGACCATGAAGGCTTTGTGAAAGGCAGGGGAGCAGGGGCTGGAGCTTGGGGACATCACAGAGAGGGACAGGGGCTAGAAAAGGGGATGGAGGGAAGGGTGTGGACACTTCCAGCTCCCCAGTGACTCACCTGAAGCCCTGCAGGACCTGGCAGCCCATTCTCTCCCTTCACCCCCTGGAAAAGCCAAGAGCAGCCTGAGTGATGGAGGAGAGCAGGACCTGGGGCAGGGAAGGAGAGAGCCTGCCCACCCTGGCAGGGCTGTGACGGGCAGGGACAGCCACCCTCACCTTCACTCCCTTCTCTCCTTTGTCCCCAGCTGGTCCAGGGTCTCCCAGGAAACCCTGAAATGGAACAGGGATGAAATGGGAACAAGGATGAGCCTCAGCTGGAGCCACACCACGAGGCTGCTGTGCCTCAAAGGACACAATCAGGGTGGGACAGGAGGATGGGGACCCTCAGGGTTGGGCTACATGGGGCAAAGCCTGGCTGCTGGTGCCCAGCATGGTGTCACCTCCCTGCAGCTCCTGTGTCACCCACAGCAGTGGCACAGGGCTGGCACAGGGCTGGCACAGGCAGGAGGGCACAAAGTGTGGCCCAAAACAGGGGTCTGATAACCCATGTGGGATTGCTGCAAAAAGAACAAATTGGGTCTCAAACCTGCCAGGATGATCAGACCTTGGAGGAGCCCAAAAATCTCCTGGGCAGCTCTAAAAATGCTGGTCTGAAGAAGACTAAGTGATGGGAAAATTAAAAAATTAAAGGGCGACAAGCCAGCAGCATTCTCTTTTTTAATGGACATTTTCCATCCTGGCTGCCAAAGCCCTGGATGAGCCTGGGGAGGAGCTGCAGGAGCAGTGCTGGTCCCAGTGGAACCAGTATGGAAGGAGCTGGGTTTGGCACTGCTGGGGCTGGCACCTCATGGTGCCCATGGCTGTGCCAGCCAGAGCCAACTCACCTCTTCTCCCTTGTCCCCTGCCAGCCCTCGGTCACCCTGGAAGCCCTGGAGGCCCTGGGGAGAGGGAGGAAGGAGCAGGGCAGGCACTGAGGGGCTGCCACCTGTGCCCACCCTGCTCCCCACCCTGTAAGTGTGGCATTCACATTCTCTGAAAATTCCCCTCACCCAGGGTTCTTCTCCTGGGAAGCTGACAGGCCTCAGAGAAAAGGAAAACAATTCTGATCTCATTTGCTTCTCCTGTGTTGTGCTCATGTGCAATGTGTTTGGAGATTGTTCACCCACAGGTGATTGTTCCATTGGATTCTGCTGGGAGTTGTTTTCACTCTTTGGCCAATCAGGGCCAAGCTGTGTCAGGACTCTGGAGAGAGCCACGAGTTTTCATTATTATCTTTTTTAGCATTCTGTAAGTATCCTTTCTGTATTCTTTAGTATAGTTTAGTATCATAAAGTAAAAAATTTTCCTTCTGAGCACATGGAGTCAAATTCATCATTCCTGCCTTCATCAGGGCATTCCCTGCAAATACAACAGCTGAGAGCCCCAAAACCTGCAGTCCCTGGCCTCTAAACCCCCTGAGGGTTTAATCCCAAACCCAGGGGCATTGCCTGTGCCCCTCAGGGGTCTGAACAAGGGCAGGGACCAAGGAACCAGAATCCTGGATTGAACACTATCCAGGCATTCTGGAATTACTCTCATTTCTTGGTCATTCTTCCAGTTTTGAGCCCTCAAGGTCTCTAGTGTAAGTTGTCCCTGCCCATGACACTGGGTGCAATGAGACGATTTTTAAGGTCCCTTCCCACCCAAGCCATTCCAAGATTTGCAGTTATTTTCCACGAGGAGCTCCATGTGCAGCAGCCCAGCCCTGCTGCTCAGACCTACCACAACTCTGGATATCCCAGCCCTTAATGCCTGTGTAGGATGCCCCACAACCCTTTTATTCCTGGCAAACCCAAACCTCGAGGCACTAATCCAGGCCTGCCTGGTTTGGGGGCTGAGGAGAGATATCCTAAAGGAATCAAGAGAAGGAAGAGCAGCTTTAGGAACTCCCTGTCTCCACCCCAGGGCTTGGAGCTCCAGCTCCCGCTGATGCTGAGCCTCCCCTGGCCCTGCCTGCCCATGGCTCACCTGCTCCCCTGGCAGCCCCCAGGGCCCAGGTTTGCCATCCAAGCCAGGGAAGCCATCAGAGCCAGGGTATCCCACACGTCCTGGCAAGCCCTGCAGCCCAGGCTCCCCCTGGGGAGAGAAATCCAAGCATGGGAAATTAAAATATCCACATTATGAAAGCAGCAAAGGAAACCCTGAACACTGCCTGGCTCTGGAGCTGGGGCAGCAGAATGACTTTGAGCAGAGCCACCCCTGCCTGGCACAGCAGGAAAGGCACCAGGACATCGATCCCATCACTCCAGCCCAGGCACAGCATTCCCAAACTGTCCCCAAGCCCATCAGGACCCTCCCTCACCCTGATCCAAGGGGGGCAGGGGTGCTGAGGGTGCCAGGCAGCCCTGAGGGCACCCTGGGGCTGTCCCAGGTGTCCCCGAGCCCTCACTCACCGGGTACCCCCGCTGGCCTTTGTCCCCCGGCTCTCCCGGTGCTCCGCAAGGTCCCTGTGCACAAACAGGGACTGGGTCCCCCAGTGTCCCCCCAGCCTGCCCCGAGCCCTGAGGAGGCTGCCAGGACAAGCAATGCCCAGAGGGGACCTTGGGAAGGGCACAGTGGGAGAATTCACATCCCTGGTACCCCCACCATGCCCAGGGCAGCTTTGGGGTCAGCAGCAAATCCATTTCTCCACTGCTTTGGCTCCTGATGGGATTCAGGACAGGGAATTTTCCTTTGCCTTATAGGGAGGAATCATCACCCAGCAATGCCAGGGCAGTGAGCATGGGGCTGAAACCCCCCACACAAATCCTACCCCAGCCCTTCCCTGCCTTGTTTTTGTGCCTCTGGGAGGGATCCATGTGCTGCCTTTCCCAAAAAACAAGGGCTGGAAGCTGATGCCCCAGGAAAAGCAGCCAGCCCTGCTCAGCTGGCAGAGTTGGGATATCCAACCTGGGAGTTGGATATCAAACATCCTTAGTTTCAGGGGGAATTAGACAACAAATCCATTAGGCTGCTTTGAAACTCAACCCCAAATCCCCTAATTACAGCATGAGTGCTTGGGGACACCCACCCTGAAAGTGTCCCCAGGGCAGCCAGGGTGGCAGCAAGGCCACCAAAGGGACAGCAGGGCTTTTGTACTTACAGGCGCTCCTGTTTTCCCAGGATGGCCTGGGGGGCCAGGAGCTCCAGGTTTTCTCTGGATTAAAAAAAAAAAAAAAAAAACCAAGCAAAAAACATTAATAAAACCCATCAAGTGTTTGGAGCAAGGAGAATTCAGCTGCAAACAAAGGAAAATTACAAACAAAGAGACCAAAGCAGCACTCACCGGCCAGCCCGCATGCAGGAGTTGGTAAAATGATGATTGCTGGAAGAAAAATGAGGGGGGAAAAGCCAAATGTTAAAAAAAATAATCCCAAATCCCTTTTTGCTGGCTTTAATGATGCTCTTCTTGTCTTGGGAAGCTGCAGCAATGAACCACTCCTTTAATTAATTTATTTATTTCAGACTCTGTGCATGCAAGGCATGGGAGGAAGGACAAGCTGAGGGAATAAGGAATTACTTCAGCAGAAAATGAAGCAGAGAGCTCACTTCTCCTGGGTCTGGTGAAATTCAGCTCCTCCATGGGTGCACCAGAAATGTTTGGGATATGGAAAAGTCAGAAATGTGGTGGTGATGAGCACAGGGACTGCCATGTTTTAGATTAAATGAGCTGGTTTGACCCTGCAGGTTACTCCAGGTGGGGAATCTCCTCCAGCCTCTGGAAAACCCAGAGGAGCAGATGCCAAGAAGGTTTTCTCCTCTTGCTGCTCCCAGCAGCCAAATCCTGGATGCACTTCCAAATTTTCCAAAGAGCAGGTGACCACAGAGAGGGGAAAGGCACCTGAAAGGCCCAGGGTGGGTTAATCCCATCCCAACCAGGTAATCCCATCCCATTTCCAAACCAGCAAAAAGGTCCTGAGACCACCTGGTGCAGCCTCCTCTCTGCACACTTCCAAGCCAGGTTTTCCCAAATTTTGGGAGGTGTCTAGGAAATAAAATGCCCATCTCCAGCTACCAGCAGCACAGGGAGGCAAAACCCATCTTTCCTTCTCCTCCTCCTTCCCATGGTGACCCCAGACCTGCAGTTCCAGGCAGTTCCTCCAAATCCTGGCTCACATCAATGGCTAAAAATCCCTTTGTTTATCCATCATCCCAATCCCAGGAAGCTGGAGGGGCAGCATTCCTCTGTTCTCTCTAATTTCAACCTTGAGAGCACTGGGAAACCTCTCCTGTCCCCTGTCCCAGGATCTGTCTCCCACTAGCAATGGGGAGAGAGGGGAAAAGCCAAGGAGCTCATGAAGGGAAATAACCACAGAGCTTTGAACAGCTGGAAATATCCCTAGCAGTGGGCAGATGATGGTGGGCATCCCTGCTCCTTCCAGGCTGATCCCAAATTGATTTCTGTGGGTGAAGGGAGCAGCCCCTGGCAGGACCATGTTCCTCCTGTCCTGCCAAGTTCTCATTTCCCTCAAAATCCACTCCTAAAACCTCTCAGGAGGAGGCTGGAGCACGGCCAACGCTTTTGCCTTGTCTCAGGAATTAGTGAACTCAGGACAGGATATGATTTCATCCAACCTTTGACAAAGAGGGGAGACAAAATCCCACGTGAGACTCGGGTTTCAGAGCAGCAGATGCCAGGGAGGGGCAGAGCAGTAAATGGGCTCTGCAATTCCAGCAGGGACTGTCAGGGCTCTGCTGCTGCTGCAGATCTGGGAGGGAAAACAGCACAAGGGGAGGGAAGGAGGGGAGCAGCAGCCACGGGGATCTGGAGAACTCCAGCCTGGGAGGAGGGCAGGGGAGACCTTTAGGGTACAGGAACCCTTCAGGGCAGGGGAACCCCTCAGCGGCCCTGGAGGAGCAGCTCAGGCCTGGCAGAGCAGCTTTGGCTGCCCACCCTGTGCCATCCTCTGCCGTCACCCCATGCCCATCCCCACCTGTGCCACCCTCTGCCGTCACCCCATGCCCATCCCCACCTGTGCCACCTTCTGCAGTCACCCCATCCTCACCCTGTGCCATCTCTGCAATCCCCCCATGTCTATCCTGTGCTACCCTTTGCAGTCACCCCATGGCCATCCTCACCCTGTGCCACCCTCTGCACTCACCCCATGGCCATCCCCAAGCTGTGCCACCGTCTTGCAGTCACCCCATGGTCACCCTGTGCCACTCTCTGCAGTCACCCCACGGCCATGTCCACCCTGTACCACCTCTGCAGTCACCCCATGTCCACCCTGTGTCACCCCCACCACGGCAGACGCCAGCCCTGCAGTAGCAGCACATCCCTAACCATTCCCTCTTTTTCTCAAGGATCAGTTTTTCCTCTCCCCATGAGGTTCCCACTGCCCAGCCTGAGCTCCTGTTTCTAAAGCACCAAACCAAAGCAGTCTGGTGCAGCAAACTGAGCTCTCCAATAGCTGTGGGAGCCCCAGCTCTCCTGCCCAGGGCTCTGGGGCTACTCCACTGCTGAGCCAGCTCCAGAACCAGCCAGCAGCAGTTCCTGCCCTGCAGCCACTCCGAGACAGTTCCTTGGCACAGCCCCCATCTGTCAGCACATGGGGAACACAAACACAGCACAGGGGCTGGGGCTGGGACCACGGCAGCCTTGGGCTGCTTTTCCTTCATTCCTGGTCACAACAAAGGGAAGGGAGAGGCTGGGAGCAGCACAGCAGCCACAGCAGCTCTGGGACAGCCACCACAGCCCCTGTCCCAGCCCACCCTCCTGCAGTGTCCCTGAGCCTCAGGGGCACCTCCCCTGCCCTGCACTCCCATGGGCTGAGCCAAAACAAACCCCAGCATAGCCCAAATCCCCCAAACCATGGGGATCTGCTCCATGATCCTCAAACCACAGGGATCTGCTCCAGGGGGCCAAACCACAGGGATCTGCTCCTTGGGAACACCAGCACCACCCCAAACCACAGGGATCTGATCCACGATCCCCAAACCACAGGGATCTGCTCCTTGGGACATCACCCAAAATAGCAAGAATCTGCTCCTTGGGAACAGCAGCACCCCAAACCACACGGATCTGCTCCATGGGAACAGAACTGCCCCAAACCCCAGGGATCTGCTCCTTGGAGGCCAAACCACAGGGATCTGCTCTACGGGGGAAACACCACCCCAAACCACAGGGATCTGCTCCTTGGTAGCAGCACAGCCCCAAACCACAGAGCTGTGGGGGCTGCCAGCCCTATCCCCAGGGCAGGCATTTCCAGCCCAGCCTTATCTCAGCTGAGATAAGCAAATCCCAGCCCAGGGCTCTGCGTTTTCCTGCTGCCGCCGGCGGCACTGCCAGGGTCACAGGGCCACAGACACAATGGGGCACAGACACAATGGCCCTGGTGGCTTTGGGGTGACCCAGGGCCCCCTCGGCAGACACTGCTCTCCCCTGAGATGGGCACAGGGCCAGCCCTGTGGGGACAGGGCCAGCACAGAGCCAGGGAACAGGACAGAACCCAGAGACAGCACAGAGCCAGTGGACAGCACAGATGTCCTGGTGAGTCACAGGGGACAGAGGGACAGGGCACACGCTGATCCCACTCCACCCACAGAGCCACCCCCAGTGAGCTGCACCTCCCTCCTTGGCATGGCCCCTCTGCCCCCACCTCCCATACAGCAATGAGGGATCTCAGCCACAGCAAACCCTTCCTGCCACCCCATCCCATCCCATCCCATCACATCTCATCCCATCGCATCCCATCCCAGATCCCAGCCCATTCATCCCATCCCAGCCCAGATCCCACCCAAGATCCCATCCCAGATCTCATGGGTCCCATCCCCTCCCATGGATCCCATTGATCCCATCCCATCCATCCCATGCCAGCCCAGATCCCATCCAAGATCCCATCCCATGGATCCCATCCCATATCCCACCCCAGGGATGCAGGGAGATGCTGTGAGTGCAGCCCTGCCCACTGTGGCTGTAACTCACCATGAACGACTGCCAGTCCTCCCTGGAGTTCCTCCAGAGGACGATGCTGGGGACACCGGGGGTGCCAGCAGGGCCAGGGTCACCGGGGGGGCCCATCCTGCCCATGGCCCCCGGGTAGCCCTGTAGGGACAGGGACAAGGACAAACCAGCAGGGATTTGGGCCCCTAGACACTGAGTCAGGGGCTGGGCTGAGCAGAGAGGGCAGCCTGGGGCTGCAGGACAAATGTCCCTGCAGGGACTCCATGGGTATGGACTGGGGCTGAGCTGTGGGACACAGCAGGGTCCCTCCTGCAGGTGACCTGAGCTGGAGCTGGTCCATGTCCCACTGAGAGCTCGAAGGAAGAGAGCAGCTGGTGCAGGCAGCTCAGTCACAGAATCAAAAACATCCTGAGCTGGAGGGACCCACCAAGATCATCAAATCCAGCCCCTGTCCCTGCCCA